CAAAACTGAAACGGCCCAACAGGGCTGTTCTTTGCTCTGTTGGGGGCTCTAAGTCTACTGATGGTACTCCTCAGTTCCCCAATAGGTCAAATACTACCAAGGGCTATTTCAGGTGGGAAAATGGAGGAGGGAGGCTTAAGCTGGCTCTCTTTGTATGTCATGGTTTGAATCCAAATCAGACCATACACACCTAGGACTGAATTTCCCAGCATTGAACTCACCATACACATTTGATCATGAAGCTCTAGGAAGGATATGCGGGAAATGCAGACATGTACCCCAGAATCTGATGGTGACTGGTGATAACTTTTGACGTTGATATTAAAGACAAACCTGGTGAATATGTAAATGTATATGAAATGAGAAAATAAATGGGTGGTACCAAGCATCCATCAAGTGAAGGAGCACTTTGGATGAGCACCACTATTAGCAACAACTTTGATGAGCCATCAGGCATGTGCTCCTGAGGCTATACTAATGTCATCAGTTGAAGAGGGTGGAGATGGGCAAGATACCAATGGGGTCCAATAGGACCTTGCTTGTGGGGAAAAAAGGCTTAAAATGCATAGCATCATGAGGTGATTGCCACAGTGAGGGATGTGAGAACACAGAAGACGTCGACAAACTCAGTGCATAATATGACCTCAATGATATCTAGGGAAGATTGTGTGATTGTGCACCCATTGTCAGTATAATATTGCCATTTGGGATTTTATTACACAGACTGATGTAGAAATTTCATAAAAGTACTTGAAGTACACATTCTTGTCACATCAAATTTCACCCTTTTAAGTGTGATTCTTTCCCATGATTCTTCATAACATGTCCTGCGCAATCACAATCTTAATCACTGAGCCTGTAAAGGGGAGCGAGGGTAGGGATCCTCATGCCAGGAACAGAAATGCTTTGCAATTTTTCTCTCCACTGTTTTTACTACTTAGTTTTTGTCTCTTTTTTACTGTTCTTTCTGTCCAGTAGCAAAAATACCAGCATAATTACCAGAAAGAATGAGTGTATTGCCTATGAAAGCTCAAAATTTACAACCATAAATTACAACATGTGACAGAAACCTTCTTTAATTTATGTCCCTCTTGTAACTTGAAGGGAAGATAAGCTAGATAAAACAAACTTATTCACTTCACTGTCTTAGGGGGGAAATGTACAGGTGTATCTGCTTAGATTTTTTTTTTAAAAGGACTGTTAGGATTGGTTCTCATTTCCTGTGCTGCTGGAAGGAAAAGCAGTGATACTGTTGAGGCCTGCTCTTATGGAGATGTCAACATTTGAATAGTGTCTGACTCTAGTATGTACTACAGTTTCTACTTAGGGTCAGTGCTAGCTCAAGTCACAATTCCTGACCCTCATCATGTAGCCTGTGTGGAGAAAGAATGTTGTCTCTTCTAGCATTTTCCTCCCACCCCTAGCTCCTTTCAGAGTAAAACACACCAAATATATAAAGGGGAAAGGGGAAATCAGGGGGAAATCAACCAGCTCCCTGAGACAGGCTGGGCAACTGTGTCATCCTCTTTGAGGATTTACCAGAGAATTAATTTCCTCTTGGATTCCCACATCCTAGGAAGGTACTTGCACAGCCTTACTGAGTTTTGGGATCTGGGTTTGGATTTTTTGCACTGTGTTCCCAGGAGTCAAGGAAATGGGTCCATTCTCACAAACTGAGATTAAGGGTTAGATTGAAACAATAATCCACCCAAGAGTACCACTGCTTTGTACTGTTTGCACTTCACTCTCGTTATTAACCAGGTCAAATTCATCACACTGAACATTGGAGTTAAGGGAAACCTTTCTTCCTACAGTTAGGGCAAGAATTGCATTCGCCATCTCCTTGAAAGGTGTACAAAACACAGAAGTGGGTACGGGGATGGAGGGGGGAAACGGAAGAAAACCCACAGGAGGCATTATTTCCATAGGAAAAAAATATTTTATTTTTTTAAAAGAACAAATTCAGTTGAAACAGATGCGGAATGTGAATTTTCATAGATTTCATTTTCTGGGAGGGGCTAACTGCAATGGAGAACAAAAAGCAGATTTCAAATCTATGACAGTCTAGTTTAAAAAAAAAGAGAGAGAAAATTATTGGTAACTCAAGCATAATACTGTGTTACTTACAAACTGGACAAAGGAATTCTTAAATAAATATTCATGGTACACAATTACAGCACAAATATGCAGCAATTTGGCAACCTTTTTTTATACCATATCTTTTTTTTTTCCTGGATACAGTGCAAAGGGGAATGACACTGCCTTTAAACAAGCTGTAGCTAAATACATAGCAAAAGTCAGATTTTATACAAAACATCTTGCTTAGACTTTATAAAAAACCAATGTTGCTCTATATACACAATCTGGTTAAGAAAAGATGTTTTTTCTTGTATTCCATGTGTATTTTTATTTTATATTTACTTTAAAAAGGTGAATAAGGCTACTGTAACACCCCAAATCCATATACAGTAAATCTGAACTTATTTACAGCATCTTCACTCTTTAGACAGGATGGTGCAAATTCCAAAAAGTTAAGTGATCAAGGGGTAACACAAAGCAAGGCATTTACAGTAACTTCTCAAAGCTGAACCAACACACCAACCAAAGGAACAGTTGGTAAGATTGTCATTATTCTGCACGAGACACAACACAGATACATGGGGCTCTTTTTTCTCCCCCCCCCCCTCGGTTGGTTGTAGGGTGCTCTTTCCCCCATTGATTTGTCCAGTTCTCCTATCCCCCATCCCAAGGACCAGTTTAGTATATAATCAGAATATAACCAACCATCTAAACATACTGTTGATTTAAAAACAAAACAAAACTAGGCCCATCATTTCCCCCCTCCCCAAAACAAAATCTTAATGACTTACAAGGAAAAAAAAATCTTGCATGGATGGATTCACAGAGAGGAAGGCTTTAAGGAAAGAACTACATCTGTATTGTAGTTAGTTACCATGGTAACCTCCCACAGAACCCTGCTTCCTTCGCACCCTTCCTCTCCCCCTCTCCCTTTTTTGGACCAACATTTTCAGGTTCAGAAAATACAGAGAGTAATCATTTCTATGACAGTACATTTTTGCACGTGCTCAGTGGAGGTTTGAGAACCTTAAAACGCTGTAGTTACATGTTCTTTCCAGTCCAGAAAGTGAAGCGTTACTATGGTAACAGGACTATGTGAAAAGACATCTATTTTGCATAGCACATAAATAAGTAGATTCCCCCCCCCTTTCCCCCAGGGTGTAGAGGTTGGAGGGAGGACAACTACCATCCTTCAAGCAGAAACTTTACACTGGAACTCTCCTATTTGTGACTAGCTGGAATATTCCATCCCATAAGGCAAGGGGGGGGGAAGAGAACACAAAACACTGGGGGGCGGGGCGGAACCCTACCAGAATTATCTTGTTGTTGTTAAAATGTATGCTGCACTTACATTGACTTTGTGGTATTTTGGGGCTTGTATTTCCTAGTCTACTGTTATGAAAGACAGCTTTAGAGGGCTTTGTTATTTTTGTATTTCCTCTCAGTATTGTTCTTTTCGGAGTGAAGCTATTTCTTTCCCAGAAGTAGTTGCCCAAATTGTTTTGCTCTAATGCTGACTATTTTAAGATTTAATTTCACTGCCGCGGATGAATTTCACATCTTCTGGTATAGATTCTGTGCAATCTCTCTCTCTCTTTCTATATATATATATATTAGTAATAAAAACAAAATCTGCTACTTTATATCCCTTGGGTTCTATACACCTATTATAAATAAGACATACCTTCCTAAAAACCCTACCCCCTGCTCTTGTGTCTTGAATGTATTGCATTTTTTATGGACCGTAAGCAGTTTACCATATGTGCTTTAATTCTGAAAGAGAACACCCCCAGGAACTGCCGTGTCCACTACGGCATCACTTTGCAAATGCACTGCTGGAAACTAGAAATGTAAAAAAAAAGGCTTGAATGGAGGAAAAATAAAATCCTGATCAATTTTTTAAAAAGAGATGTGGATTTCCTTTCTTTTTTTCAGCAATGGAATTATAGCCCTCTTGACAGTTTAAGCTTGTAATTTTTTCCCCCTCTTGGTCAGATGTTGCGGTTTCCCCAAACACTTTCCCTCCCCATTAGTTAAAATGTGATAACTATAGCAGCTGAGCCTGCTTTTAAAAACCAAGTGTCATTTGAAGCAAGCCAAGATTCTGCTCCAGCTTCTTCAAAGCTGTACATCTTATTGCTGGTACAGTACCGCAGTCATCCTGCCCCTAATATATCACCGATGGCCTTCTATTGTCTTGTCTTTCAGGCACAATCACCGACTTCCCCTCTCTTTGTCCTACTTTGAGGGAGAGAACTAGTTTCTCCTATACGCTGCTACTTGAGAATAACCTCCGTGTCCTTCAAGCGCAGCCCTAATCCACTGCCTGTTGTTACTGCGTCCCCTAACTTGCTTGCCTCTTAGAACTCCAAAGTGCTGTGCTACCTAAATTGTCAGGCATTGTCCAGTTGATTTCAGAGGCGGCAGCGGGTCGATCAGCCCTACCCTTTTCCCTTCCCCATACCGCGCCACCTCATCTTACATCTGACTCTGCTGACGAGCTATCTTTCAGCTGGAAGATTCCCTTTTCTTTCTTTTTTTTAGCAAGCCCAAATTCTCCCAGAGTGTTATCCCATTCAAGTGGGGCCGCTATCAGAAAAGGATGGGAATATGGAACAGCAAAAAACATTATGTTTTCCCAACAGCAATGCAGGATGTGTAGAGAAATGATTTGCATGTGAAGAATGCTACCTAAGTGAAGTAAAATGCAACACAGGGACAGACTAAAAGCAAGGGGAAAAAAATGATTAAAAGTCTTACTTAAAAGCCAAGGTTCTGTATGACAAATCCACAAGCACTTAGAGAGAAGCACGCACACAGAGTCACTGGGCTTCGTTTCAAGGTGGATGACTTAAAGCTTCTTCCCAGAATGCCTGAAACCATTATCATCCATGAATTGCTTCATCTTCTCTGGGCTTTTCTTTTCGTACGTGCCTGAACACCTGCAGCACATGGCTTAGAAGGTGATGAATGTACAGCAACTGGTATAGGTATCTTCTATGTAAATTCTTCCAGCTCCCAAGCCAAAGCTTGTCCACCAAGGCAGGAATTCTACAGACTAGAGAAGCTGTCCGTCTCTCTGTAACAGGGTGGGGGGGCCCCTTGCTGTTGCCTCCGCCACACCCGGTCCAGTAACCTGCATGGGGGTTTGCCGCAAACCAACCCCGTCATGGATAGCATTTGGCCAGAAAAGAGTTCCCAAAGGTACCATGCCGAGCGTTCATCAGACCTTGTAATAAATGTTCGCTGGGCTCTGAGGGGGCATCTCTTGGACTATGTACACCGGGTGTCCATAGTCGCCGCTGACCTTTTCGTAGTGGGGGCAAAAGACACTGTCTGCAGTCCTCAGAGGGATAATAATGTCACTAGGTTCGGACCCGTTGTTGTTCCCACTGCGTTTCGGGGTGGCTAATGTGCTGAGCGACAGAGTCGTCGTGTGCTGTGGCGAATGCTTCCGGTGTCTCCTCCGATACTTCAGCAGCAGAACCACCAGCGTGATGATGATGATGAGGAATATGATGGACCCTGAAGCTATCCCTGCAAATAAGGCCACCTCTGAACCAAGGATACTGGAATGACCAGCTTTGCTGCCATCTGTGTTGGAACCTAGGAATGGGATTGGGCAGAGGAGAGGGGAGAAAAGAGAGACGACAGAGAGCTAAGTTCAAAATAATCAAGTCCCGTCACCACTCTGCAGCACTGAAAGACTCGACTGTCAAAGTGAACTTTGACAAATCAATTACCCTGCAAGACAGCTAGATACAACCAGTCAAAGACGGCCTGTTCATATTAAGCCTGCCTCCCGTCTGTTGCTCTTTTGCTTTTATGTTGCTCCTAAACCACACTTGTGTTCCTTTTCATCTCTCATCGTTCATCAACAGCAAGGACAGGCACTGACAAGGCACTCTTTGATGCACGCCAGGTCTGAACAGATGTTGGTCAGCTTAAAGCGGTTAAACGGGACAAGGCAGGGAAATGAAAAATGCAGAAGAATAGCCTTTACCACTTTCTGTTTCAGACACTAATTTCAACTAACCTCTATCAATGTGTGCCTGTTTTCTATCTTTGCAATAGATCACAGGACATCAAAGCGGGGTGGAAGGCAGAGGAAAACTTTCCAAGATCTGAATTAGTTATGATTTCCATCTAGTTTTAGGTTTTTATTGTTGTGCATCCAGGGAAATTACAAAAAAAGGAGTCTCATGCTGGCGTCTGACCTCATGCTGGTGGCAGTTTCTTTTAGGTAACAAACTTATCATCCAGGTCAGAAGAGACGGCTTCATAAGTTCCAGAACTATCACTGACATGTGTGTGTGTGGGGGGGTGTCAACTGATCCGGGCGCACACAAGTGCCAGGGTCCTACTAAACCCTAGTGCAACAGATTCCTAGCTCTGGTGCATTATGGCCAGGACACAGGAAAAAAATTATGTGTGAAGGAGCCAAAAAATTCTCGCTTTGAGCTTTTGTGCCCATTCAGTGGGACCTTTTGGTCTACTTGAGGTAGAAAGGACAGCACTTATGTGTGCTGAACGTAGCTGGTAGCAAGGGGGACAACAAGAATCCCGTGTAGCTGCAGGGGCATAAGCCCGTAACAGCAGAAAACAATGATATAAATAGATCAGCAGGTCACACGCTGCTGGATTAATTAATTACATTTGGAGCAATGAGGAGATCTGGAATCATTTCACTACAGCTGGATGCTTATGTCAAGATGGGATACTGTTGCAAAGGCTAAATTAATGTGTACAAGCCCCCTTCCTCATACGCGGTAACCTTAGTTGCAAAGTTCCTGATGCCTATTTGATAACTCCCAAGCAAAAGAGACATTAGCATGGTAGGAAATAATGTTTTGGGGGGGGGGGAGGATGTGAAAACACAACTGAGAACCCGTGAGGTCAACTGGCACCCACTACAGCTTTGCAAGAGATCTTAAAAACTGCCATTATTTCTTCCCTCCCCCCAATCTTGTCCAGTATATTCTTTCTTGTTCAGATCCAACCAGAAAAGGAAAGAGAAGAAGCTGATGTTAAGAGTATGTGTGTGTGTGGTGGGAAGGGGTGTATTCATTCTGGAGGTTTAAACAGGCATCTTATAATCATCCACGAATGAGATCAGTCATTTACGGAGCTGATACAAGTTACAGAGCAAAGATGTGATCAGCCAAAAGATTACTGCTGTAATTATAACATGTACTAAAGCAAGCCTTATAAAGTGCTAACCAGGAAGCTCTTCATAACAGAAACGAGAGACAGTGGCTAAAATCCAGCACACAGCTAAGATGCTTAAATGCCTTTGAAATCAGCAGGAGCTAAGGGTGCTTAACTCTGTGCTGGACTGCAGCCAGTGATCATAAAGCCTCCCTTCTTTGGCAAGGCAGCTCCTACAGTTATCAAACTGTTTAGATCAATGCCCATTTCTGCAAGCCAATAACATCCTCATGCGGAACAATTAAATTTAAGTGTCAAATGCTAATGAAGAGAAGGGCCTGGTTTCGCCAAAGTAAACAGCTTTGACCTCCCACATACTGGTGCATCAGAACACACACTTTTGATCTGCCTCCCTATGCAAATGATTTATTTTAATCATCTAATAAACTGTATTATTATAGAAAATGTATGGAAAAAATAGCCTTTGAAATAATCTCCTCGAAGATCTAAAAGCTGTCCTGTTTACCTGAGTGATCCTTTACAAAGGGACTTGTTGTAGAGCTTTTCCCGTTGGTACCAGCTTCCTGTTCCGGGCGTTTAGTTGGATCAGCATTATTTGGGAACCCACCAGAATTGGGAACTGAAAGAACACAAATGATTCACTACAAACTAATAGTAATCTGCTTTATAAGCCGGTTATCAATTTTCATGAGGCATGAATGGCTTTGAACACAAGATCCTTTATTTAGGAGTACAAGGAGATAGGAGAGTGTAATTTTCATAATTAAAGCAAAAAAAAAGAGTTTGCTATACTAGTTATTTCAAAAGTTTAGATAATGAGGCCTTTGGTAGAAAATGAAGGAGGTTCTTGAAACCAGCAGGAAACCTTTGCAGATGACATTTCAGTATAGCCAAGCAAGTTGACTGACTACTAACCAACCTCTAATTAGAAAGAATATATTTTTTCCTGGGAAGGTAGTGGACTACACAATAGGTTATCTGTGTATGGGGGGGAGGACAATGAACAAAAAAAATATATCTTTTTTTGGCCATGATTTGTAACATGCGAACTATGGAAACATTAGCTCCCTCTCCCTTTTGTTTGTTTTAAATAATTTTTGAGCTGTGAACCTGCACGTTTAATTTTTAGCATACAAGCAAGAATAACTGGAGCGCATGTCGTTCACGGATGACCTTTCCTTCCAAGAAGAGGTCTTCAGTGAAGAGATCTGACTGCATTAACGCTTGTCCTACAAAACCTGTCCAGAAGTTAGGTACAGAAAATAAGCTTTGCCTCAGCAGCTACGGGAAGGCAGGCTGACCTAGGCTACCCTGGCATGTGGTTTTGCCCTCTTAGCAAAAGCTGGAGGGGGGCTAAGGGGAGGGGGATGCTGATCAAAGTGGCTGGATGAAACCAACAGGTGGTCTTTACCTTGTCCAACTTTCATGAGGATCTTCATGGCTTTTGTCTGGCACACCCCTCCCTCCTGGTTATCCAAGCCCTCCAGTGATCCATTGGAAGTTGCTGTTTGAAAATAAAACCAAAAACATTTTGGACATCAGCAAGTGAAGTTAAGCAGCAAAACTGAAAAGCAGATTTAATTGGTCCAGATTTTACTTATGCCATTCACATTTACCCAGAAAAGGCTGTGAAATGCTGACAGCCCTGAGAATTAACACGTCGCCAAGACTGGCTCTGTGATGTCTGTAAAGGTCGGGTAGGTTCATATGAGATTAGGTGGTCCCAAGCCATGCAAGGATAGTTGCTCAAAACGGCTGCAAAGGGTGGAAATGTGGCTAGCTCCTGGGCATTTCAATTACCAACTGGAAGAAAGGAAGAATTCTCTGCAGTCCCTGATAGGCTGGATGGAGTCTCCAGGCCACCAACGCAATCTTATGCTATCTATGTAGAAGGAGTTTGACACTGCAAACAATCTTACATACTCTTGAGCAGAAACAGCAGGGCAGATTGCCTGGCTCGACTAATAACGTCAATACAATCTTAATTCAGACAGTTAATTATAAACCTGTTAAAAGTTTGCGATCAACATGCTTTCTTGGCACTTTTCTTCCTCTCTGTGTGTCCTTTTGTCTTTCAAGTACATATGCACTGACATCTGGTCACTTAACTAAGATATGAAGGGGAGGGGGAGAGAAAAAGAAAGGCCATGAAAGTGCTTGCAGGGGGTTCCCGTGGAGAAAAAGCAATTAAATGGTGCTTCTTGCACTTAGAAGAATCTCCCTTTTCATCTGAGAGATTAATTCAGCTAGGGCCCCCATAAGTCTTCTTTTTCTTTCAGTTCCCTTTAGTTATCCCCCCCCCACACACACAGACATCTTGCATTTGGGATTTTGGGGGAGTATTTTTTTAAAAACATAGCTCATGCACATTTCCGATGTCCTTCACCGGCTCCCACCACCTTTCCCGAAGTGTCTCCCCAGCCCCATGGTGATATTTTTCTTTCTCTAATCCTCTCACTAGCTGCAAAAAACTACAAACTTTTTGGCTTGCCTTTGATCTACTTCTGGCTTTTGTTCTACTTCTCCCTCCTCGTGTGCGTAACTCAATTCCTCACTATGTGAACTTCCCTTCTTGCCGCTCCTTCCTGGATTCTTCCATTCTCCTCAAGAGCGGATCCTGCCCGAGCTTCCCCCTCTCCGATTGTGCTTTTCCATCTTCCACAAGAATAGTCAGCCAAACTTTATTTTTCAGCTTCTTGGGTGCATTTTTCAAACGAGTAATTCAGTGGGGAGGAAAACCAGATCTGATGTGTACAACTACACTGCCAGACTCAGAAAATAATGGAGATATATTGTTTTGTTTTGTTGGGATCTTCCCCCTTCCCAGCCCCAGAGAAAAGAAAATCGATACTGAGAACCAGTTTTGGACATAAATCAAATGCATCTTTGCTCTTTTTTTATGACCTCTTTTGTTTTTGCCCTTGTGCTTGCACACTGGAAGACAATGTATAGAAATACAGCAACGGAGAGGGTGACTATACAATGGCTGTTTTGACTTGTTATTGTTAAACTGCAGGAATCTGCCAAGGCTTAAGCTACCTTTTCAGAGGGCCGTCTGCATGCCTCCTCCTTACTTGCCTATCTTGTGGTGTATAGGCAACTTCACTTCATTACAAACAACCTACGGGTGAACTTCCATATGGCTGCATCTACACATCATTAGCTACTGTGCTACAACAATCCTTTGCAACTAGACTGGCTTGACCACAAAGGATAAAAGGTAAAGGTAAAGGTTCCCATGCTCGAAAGCCAGTCGAGTCCGACTCTAGGGTTGCGGTGCTCATCTCCGTTTCAAAGCCGAAGAGCCAGCGCTGTCCAAAGACGTTTCCGTGGTCATGTGGCCGGCATGACTAAACACCAAGGCGCACGGAACGCTGTTACCTTCCCACCAAAGTGGTACCTATTTATCTACTTGCAATTTCTTGCTTTCGAACTGCTAGGTTGGCAGGAGCTGGAACCAGAGACGGGAGCTCACTCCGTCTTGCGGCACCCGGGCCTCGAACTGCTGAACTACCGACCTTCCACAGCCTGCAGTTCAGCGTCTTAACCACTTGAGCCACAAAGGATAACCCGGTTGCAAATCGTTGCTATAGCACAATAATAGCACACTGTCTAGTGACACATGGATTCAGCCTTTTGACACATCAAAGGAGATCATAGAAGGAAACTCAAAGACCAGTAACCTTTAAGGATCCCAATGTGTCCGGCTTCCATAAAATTATAATTACAATGCCTGGTTTTGCAGAAGTGCAACCTCTGCTAAAATATGCATTTATCAAAGTCTTGAGATTCAATGAACATTTGGCAAACAATATTGCAGCAAAGAAATCCTTTAACTGAAAATGTAGCTATTTGAAACACTTTCCAAATATCATCTGACAAGTCAATAACAGAAAAACTGGGAAAGCCTATTTCCGGCAATTAAATAATGCAGTAAAGTGAAATATTTTCTCAACAAAAGTTGCTAGTGAGCTGGTCTGACCTTAACATCAAGCAAGATGAGGCCATCCAGGTGGCACTGTTATAGGGCAGCAAACTGTTAATTATTTAGTTTATTATTCCACTTCTACCACCACGTGGAGGGGAGAAACTATTGGCATTCAGCCTCAGTTATCCAAATGTCAGCCACTTTGCCTAGGGTCTAAGAGATGACACTGCTTTGAACTTCTAATACATTCTGAAAGATGAGTATATAGCAGAGTGATTGCGAAATATCTCTAAATCAGGGGTCCTCAACGTGTAGCCCACTGGCTCTTTCTTGAGGCCCACCCTCCCGAAGTTTTTTAGGAAGCTCAGTGTGGAAGTTATTCAGGAGCAGCAGCCTAAAAGTTTGAATCTGAACACTGCCATTCATTCACCCAGCAACCCAGAAGGTGAATTCTGGTTTGCAAGCTGGGTATAAAAAGTTCAGCTTTTAAAATCTGGGCTCTAAAAGCCATGTCTACACCATTCAAGTCAAGCATAGGGTTGCCAAGTGTACTCACCCTTGCCAGCGGGGGAGCCTTGTCGGGCTCCGGGAGCTCTCCCAAGATGTGCGTGCGCGCTTCGTGCTACGTTGCTCACATTGGGGGCATGGCCCAGATCGTCGGGGGACCATATGGTTCCCCCCGACGTTCTGGGCCACGCCCCCAATGTGAGCGACGTGGCTGCGTCACCCCTGGTGACCCAGCTTCGGGGGGGGGGGGGTTCCCCCCAGGGCCCGATTCCGCCACGGCGGAAATTGGGCCTCCAAAGCGGGGGTTTCCCCGCCCCCACTTGGCAGCCCTAGTCAAGCAGAAGGTTTTCTGCAGATTACACTCAAAGAGAGAGTGCAGGCCCACACAACCTGTGAGCCACCGAACCAAAGGATGACCAATGTGCATGATGATCCACCAAGAGGTTGAGAAATATTCTGGTTTTGCTTTCCAACCAGGACTGTAAGAACAGATGTGTTTTTGTCATGGGGGGTGGGTAGGGTTGCCAGCTCTGGGTTGGGAAACACTTGAGAGATTTCTTTTTTGGGGGGTGAAGTCTAAGGAGGGCAGAATTTGGGGAGGAGAGGGACGTCCGCAGGGCATAATAGCACAGAGTCCACCCTCCAAAAGCAGCCATTTTCTCCCGGGGAACCGATATTGGTCATCCAGAGAGTGATTGTAATTGCTGGAGATCTCCAGGTGCCACCTGGGAGTTGACAATCCTACCGAAAAGGCTGTGTTGAAGATCATGGGCTTGTCATATGAAGGGGGAGCTTGAGTCAGAAGATAAGGGATTGGGCAAAGCGAGCAGAAAACCTGGCTGGATCCAACCGTTTGCCGTGAAGATCGAAGTGCCTTCATTATAATTTCTTCATATTGGTTGGGATATACCTGGAGATTTTGGCTGGGGGAGCCTGGGGAGGGTGGGGTCTGGGGAGGGGAGGAACCTCAGAAGGGGACAATCCCATAGAGTCCACCCTCCAAAAGCAGCCATTTTCTCCAGGGGAACTGATCTTGGTTGTCTGGTGATGACTTGTAGTAGCGGGAGATCCCCAGGTAGCACCTGGGGATTGGCAACCTTAGAGGGGTGACAATCTGGAAGGCCTCCTTCCTTAGGGGCTGCATTTGGGCTAGTGGTTCACAGGATGCGGAAGCCAGATACCCTCCTCATTGAGATGTTAATTTATTTCAGCTTTCTAAGTCATACTCATTTGAAGGTGCAGGAATTATGATTCTGTAAGCAATGCAAGGTCAGGGCTTTATTACTGTTGCTTTGTGTCACTTTTTTTAATGGCAGTTAAGGGAAACTGTAAAATGTTAAAGACAACTTAGAAAAATTGTAAAATACACTGTAAACATGGTTTATAGCTGAAGGACTCTAATGCAGCTACTTGGCTGAAACATCCACTACCAGTTTGGCCCTCTCTGCATAATCATCATGTTTAAAAGCACTGGAAATCCTGTGAAAGGTTTGGTCTGATAGATTTATTTGCTTCAAAAACTATGCCTGTTTACAAAATAAAACACACCCTGAATGTGAAGCAATCAGCAAGTGAGACAGACTAGAAGAGTTTCTGGGCTCTGATTTTTATATAGTCCCCATGGAGTGGAAGTAATATTACATTTTAATACATCTTCATTTGATTGTTATTACTCTGTGTCCCAGGAGGCAGAGCCACTGCCTAGATCTTGGCTGTTTTCAACCTATCAAGTTGGTAACAGTACTCTAATCAGATGGAGAATTAAGCTGCAGGATTTGTGCCTTCCGTTCACAAACAAATTAGAAATGAAGGCTATGTTTCTTCTTGTCTTACACACACGTATTTCATTTCCAAACATGTTTTCTTTTCTAAATGTGCAACACACACATTAAAAAAAAATTAAATCCCAAAAAACTTTTTATCACAACAAAACCATAGATCACAGCTATTATTTGTATTTGTAGAGTCTGGATGCTAGTGACCATGCCAACTGAAGAAGAAGAAGAGATTGGATTTCTACCCCGCCCTTCACTCGGAGTCTCAGAGTGGCTTACAAACTCCTTCCCCTT